GAAATATTTCATCCCTCTGAGACAATCCAAGAGTTCTTCAATCCGGGGAAGAGCGTAGGAATCCTTGATGGTCCTACGATTCAACTGTCTGAAGTCAACACAACTCCTTGATATGGCTTGCCAGTGGGCGGACGTTGTAAAGTAACCGGTTGGAGTTCACAAGGAATTGCTCTCGGTTGTATCACAACAGAACGCGTGGTAACATTAGCAATGTGCACGTCTATGAATCCAGGATAACTGATGTAATACTCAATTATTATAGGGGCTGTCCAAATCCAAGGGCACAAACTCTTGGACATCTAACTCCTTTGGTAATGTGGCCTCTTAGTATTAAGCACATTCGATATCCAATATTTCTCTGAAGGGCACCTGGACACCAAAGATACTGATGCTCCTGTATCCAACAATGATCTGACCTGTGTATCTCTCATATATAAATCAACCTCATTCGTATTCCCAACTACTCCCACAGGAAATCTGTCCCCTGCCCATAGGCCTGATGTGTTTAAAGTCCTCCCACGACGACTGTGCTCGAGTCTCACTCGGCATCAATACTGGTAATGGCCTCCCTGTCCACATCGCCAACACTCTGGATCAGCTGCTTGACTTCCTGCACGTTGTGATGAATAAGGCGAATATTCAGTTTGGCATTCTGGTCTTGGGTTCTTACAGTTGGAGGGCTGTTGACTCCTCCACTGGTTATCTCCCCTTGTCACTTGTCGATTGTCCTGGGAGGTTCTCCAACTCTGTCCTCTTTGTGTATGATAGTCTTCATATCAGACATTTCCTTCTTCCATTTTGGTTCAGGTTCTCTTGGTAGTACAGGCCTGTTTCTGTTGGCTAGCTTATGTGGCGCTATGTTGATCTGCCTCGTTCTCACGGAGTGCTTCCAGTAAGTCCACAAAGTTATGGATGCTGTCAAGCGTGTGGCCATATATATTTTTCAAAGAGGATTTAAGTCCAGTCCACAGCATAATATGGAGCATCTCACCCCGTGTCTCATACGTGATGGAGTTATCCCTCATGGCCCTTGAAAGAAGTTCCTCTAGTCTACAGTTCCATACAGAAACATCCTCTTTCTCTTCCTGCCTAGCGCTGTAGAAGAGTGCCATACTGCACTCTCTCCTCTCCACGACACAAAACACGCTCTTGAACTTTCTAAGTAAGTCAGTGGAACTGACGCCTGGTTGCATGTGAACGGCAATCCTGGCCGCCTCCCCCTAAGGAATCTCTTACAGTTTGGTCTTTAGAGGTATTAAGCCTCAGGGGAATAAACCGTGTTTTTAATGAGACAATCTACATGATATCTCCAGACTTCAAAAGATGTGTCTTTGCCAGATTTGTCACCGCTCAAATATGGATGTCTGGGAAACTTCTGATACATGTAGGTAGGCATGCCTGATGGTGGCTTTGGAGCTGTAGCTTAGGCTATTCCCTCCTTGGATTCCTCCTCTGATTCGACTGCAGAGTATTGCTTCATCCATGCTGCAAAGTCCTCTGGGGTGTCTGCCTTGGGTTTAACACCTAACTTCTAGAATGTCATTACAATATTCAATTCATCACCGGTGAGTTCCATCCTTATAAATAAACACTTGTCCAAGACTCTCGAGACGAATTGTTCACAATGACTATCAGAGTCAACGACTAAAACACAACTGAAAACCACGCAGAGTGTAAAACAGTGACAACACACAGTAGACGCACAGTGTGTACCTGTGTACGGTTTGTGTTTAAATTTGGTTTAAAATGGTTTAAGTAAACATAGTTGACGTCCAACTATAGTACTCTGTACAGTGTAAGTATAGAACAGTTAATGTGAAAGCAGTTTCAAAAGTTACCTTTTATGACCCGATATTACCACCTCTTAAGGAACTATCACAACATTACACTGTCACTTATTAAAATCAATTACTTCACCTCATCACCCTCTTGTGGTTATGGAAGTGTAATGCAGTTGTACATGCGACAGCAACACATTGTAATGATGGCATGATATCTGAAACGGAAACACCATGTAAGGTAGGTATAAGTAGTACTAAGTAACTGTACATGAATAAGTCACTTATTACTTATTACTTAATGTGACTTCTGAATGTGTTACTTCATGGCTAACTAATGCAAGGTTAAATATCCAACTACTACTAAATATAACACCAGTAATACTGAATGAATATGATACTGTACCGTGATATATATATATATATCCAACTTGAGTTCAACCCCAGTGACTAACCAATAACTAAGGGCCAACTGTAAAACAATAATCCCATTAGATATACATGAGCCAAAACAATACTAAATTATTAAATAGCAAACGTTAGTATGCATTATGAGTGATTATGACGTGCCATATTGCCTGTTCAGTTAAGTGTTCTGTCTGTTGTCAATGGTAATGAAAAAACAATAAGGAAACCTACATGCCTATATAAGGGAACGTATACTACGTAGCTTTAGGGTAAGTTAGGTTTGTGTTTCTTTTCTTTTGAGCGAAAGTTAATAATTTAGTTACTCACCCACACAACACAAGACACATTCAAACTAAACTTGAAACTAACAAACTTGTAATATGCCAGCATGACTGTAATGAACCATGGTATACCAAAGCATGGGACACTAATCATGTCACGACAAACATAATAACGCGTACGCTTATATGACAATACGTATGTTAGATAACGCGAAAGACTGGAATAATCCACTATTCAAACACTATTGCATCCCGGGCAAACCATCACTGTTCTCATCCACATTTAGTTGTTGGATTCACACTCAATCATCAAGGTCCTCGCTGGGGGCTCCACTTTGTAGCTGATTGCACGTGCATCGCTGAATGATGTGACAACACGGCTACTTGTGTGATTCGTTTTATTTGATGACGAGTATGTGTGTTATGCTTTTTACACCCTGAAATGCACGATAACACTCAATAAGAATCTTGTAAAGTATGACAATTAAAATAAGAGCATGATACTTCATTAGGATCATATTTACAGATCTGAACATAGCACTATAAATAAATAAATTACTAAACATCCTAAAACTATCATAAATGTCCACACACTTACAATACATTTAACACATATATGATAATAGCCTAATAAACATATTCAAACAACACCCTGTCCAGGAGAATCAGACATTGACTTAATCTCTCACACATCATAACAAATACCTTATTTAACGTACACATATTTATATGATCTTATTTATGAAAAGATAGGTTTATATATGTCTGCGTATTTAATTGGAAACATACCTTCACTTTATATAATCTGTAACATGTGCCCACTTGCTGTCGTCTGTCAGTGACTTGTCAGTGTTGTGACTGAGGTGCAAGTGAGGGTTAAAAAGAATGCAAAGCTGACCCTGAGGAAAACAATAGGATAAACCACTCAACCAGAACACTTGCCCTGAATGACACAATGGAGCTGATAGGGTAGTGCCTGACCCAAGCATAACTAAGTAAAAAGGCGTAGTATCACCTCTTCATTAAAATCCCTAAACTAATACTGCAAACTAATACTGCAAACTTATACTAAATATACTTATACTAATATTAATACTAATACTAATAACTAATGTTAATACTCACTACACTATGTATTATATATACTATATACTAATACTGACACCAAGTGATTTACTGGTTAGTTGACAGTCAAACAAAACCTGTAACTGCCACACATACACAAAACTCAGCAATACATACATAGAACTCAGTCAAGCACACACACAACTCAGTCATGCATACACATAACTCAGCCATGCAAACACAAACTCCGTCATGCATATACACAACGAAGCCATGCATAAACAGAACTCCGTCGTGCATGCACACAACTAAGCCATACATACACACAACTCAGTCATGCATGCAGCTCAGTTGTGCATACACTGAACTCAGTCGTGCATACACACATCTCAGTCATGCATGCAGCTCAGTTGTGCATACACTTAACTCGGACGTGCATATACACAAGTCAGTCATGCATGCAGCTCAGTTGTGCATACACTTAACTCGGACGTGCATATACACAAGTCAGTCATGCATGCAGCTCAGTTGTGCATACACTGAACTCAGTCGTGCATATACACAAGTCAGTGATTCATACGGATAACAGCAAATCATATAATGATACATGATTTACGAGAAAAAAAGTCATAGGCCTCATAGTTTTAGGAGATGGAGCATTTAACATTAACATAGACAGGGTATGTGCAGGAAATAAAGAGTGAATAAGGCAGTGTGAATTAACAGAGGAGATCATTTGCTGTATTACAGTACGCAAAGAAGCAGAACTACCTTACCCATAACAATTCCAGTGACCTTGACTTTCAATGGCGGTAACCTTACCACTTCGTATGTACACAATGTTTATGGTTTCTTGATGTATCATGAATATTATGTATTTTGAGTGCAATAATAATATCCCGGACTTTTTAGCATAATAGAACACATTTGAACACCCTGGGTGAGTGGAATGTGACCTTGACCTTATAGATTTTGTTGTGTTTTTTTAAAATATTTGGGAGTTTTTCGAGAGTGATGCCATCAAACTGAAAGTATGTTGTCGATTATTAAAGTAGATGGAGAAAGACATATAGCTGCATTATATTGCAGACTGGTTTGAACATATTTTATTCACAATTGTGAAATGGATTGGATACAAGTTACCCAACCTAGAAACTGCTCTTCATACAGTTGTGATTTACTTAATGTCATTCATAGGTATTGTTTGAACTAACGATACGGCATCTACAACGCGCGGATATGCTGGAAAGTGGTAGAAGTCAGTCAGTGATTAGCAGACAATGGAAAAGCTAGCAACAAACCCAAGTCGTTGACGATTGACCAATTTAGGCCATTCCAGGCAAAAGAAAAAGTACAGGATCGAGGGAACCGAAACCAGGCTCTTAACATTTTTCTTTACTCAAAAGAGGCAGACTATCTGCACTTGTACACAGCAGACGTAATTTCGAAATTAACATATCATTTTTAGGTCTTTGAAGGGCAACCAATAGTGATACCTGAAATGACCACAAACGAATCCAAACTTGAATTGGGAGTCTTTCCAATAAACGGGTCAGTTTTCTGCAAACGCCGTTCCGACTGTAAAACGTCAAATACCTTCTACTTCAAATCAGGTAAGTCAACAAATGTCTTGCGGAAACGCTATTGCAAAGAATATTTGCTCTATACAGGTTCTCTTACCAGAATTACCATGCAAGTAATTTCTGCCTCGTTGTTAAATCTTGTGTCTTATTTATATTAAATGCTTCAAATCCTTGGCATGGCTTTTGAAATTTTCGTCATCCGAATGTCTTTCTTTTGAGAAATTGTTTCACCCTTTGCACATGTTCGTTTTCTCGTTTCTACATGAATGATAACTTATACACAACGAAACAATACAGAGTTAGACAATTTGTCTGAGACTAAGAACAAGTTTCCATTCGTGAGGGCAATATGATGTTTTATGGACCCAAGATACTGATACTGCCCAAAGCTAACAACAAGCGAATCCGATGTCACGGGAAGCAACAAAAGATGCTGCAGAACAAGTCTCGCTGATTTGCTGAAAATGTTTCTCGCCTTTGAGTCCATTGGCTTTTCCATTCGGATATTTGCGTACGCGATCTAAGAGATACCATGTATAACTTACATTTTTTCATAAAATAGTATTTCACGACATTAGAGTTGATGTAATAGATAAAAGATAATAGCTAGAACCCAATGGCTGTAGGACGATCGCAAGGGTGATGTGCCATGATGTCATTCACATAGTCTTTAAACTCGGTATATAACAGACTGGAAAGTTTTTAGCAGTATGGGGAATCCATTATTTATAACTTTCTTTTCATTCAAGAGACGTACACGTATGATGTATAGTGTTTACATCTGTGGCATTCTTCAAGCACATCATCTCTTGTGAATTTTGGGACAAGTATTTGTGAACTATTACAAGAAACAGAAATACCGTGCCGGTTGAGCATTGGTATGTTAAACCACAATAAGGCACTTTGTCTGTCCTCCTGAAAATCAAGTGAGCTTATTTCGTGTGCTGTTGTTCCATCTTCTTTCATAAACATAAATTTCTTAGCAGCCACTTGGCCAATATAGCTGAAACTTCCCACGAATACTTACACCCCAATTTGTTCAAAGTGCAATGAGATTTGGGATTTTAGTTTGGCTCATCATTTATGTACCGTTTTTCTCTGCGATTTAATTTTGACAATGATTTGATAATTTGCACTTCGATTAAACTGAAACGTCCTTTAGTCATTACTCATTGTAGTTAGTTGTGGAACTTGACACATATGTTTTTTTTCGCTATATTTTATTGCAGTATTTTAGATTATGACAGCACTTTGACCATACACTCAAGTACTATATATTGGCTATCTTCCCTTGAAAGTACCATCATGTGGAAACCAATCTTTGGAATATGTCTTTCTCCTAATGATGACATATTTTGTTCAAATCCTTAGATTTTAGTGTACTACTACTACTACTACTACTACTACTACTACTACTACTACTACTACTACTACAATTTCACCAGGATAAAATGTTCAAATAGATGACATACAGTGTAATCCCGACTGGGTTACAAGAAAGTAAATGTTCACTGGGTTGTATAAAGTGTAGTTTGGGTCCAAAATATTGATTTCAAGATCCTCACTTGTGCGTTGCTAGCCGAATCATCTCCGTTGATATCCACCTAATGCATGATGGGTTTACGGAGCACAAACACGTATATACCTGCTCACTACCTTATGTTACACATAATGTGTAGATGTAAACAGAATACATGCACATATTTGCCTGCTCACTACCTTATGTTACACATAATGTGTAGATGTAAACGGAATACATACACATATTTGCCTGCTCACTACCTTATGTTACACATAATGTGTAGATGTAAACGGAATACATGCACTTATTTGCCTACTCACTACCTGATGTTACACATTATGTGTAGATGTAAACGGAATACATGCACTTATTTGCCTGCTCACTACCTTATGTTACACGTAATGTGCAGATGTAAACGGAATACATGCACATATTTGCCTGCTCACTACCTTATGTTACACGTAATGTGCAGATGTAAACAGAATACATGCACATATTTGCCTGCTCACTACCTTATGTTACACGTAATGTGCAGATGTAAACAGAATACATGCACATATTTGCCTGCTCACTACCTTATGTTACACGTAATGTGTAGATGTAAACGGAATACATGCACATATTTGCCTACTCACTACCTTATGTTACACATTATGTGTAGATGTAAACGGAATACATGCACTTATTTGCCCGCTCACTACCTTATGTTACACATAATGTGTAGATGTAAACGGAATACATGCACATATTTGCCTGCTCACTACCTTATGTTACACATAATGTGTAGATGTAAACGGAATACATGCACATATTTGCCTGCTCACTACCTTATGTTACACGTAATGTGTAGATGTAAACGGAATACATGCACTTATTTGCCTGCTCACTACCTTATGTTACACGTAATGTGCAGATGTAAACGGAATACATGCACATATTTGTCTGCTCACTACCTTATGTTACACGTAATGTGCAGATGTAAACGGAATACATGCACATATTTGCCTGCTCACTACCTTATGTTACACGTAATGTGTAGATGTAAACGGAATACATGCACTTATTTGCCTACTCACTACCTTATGTTACACATTATGTGTAGATGTAAACGGAATACATGCACATATTTGCCTGCTCACTACCATATGTTACACGTAATGTGCAGATGTAAACGGAATACATGCACATATTTGCCTGCTCACTACCTTATGTTACACGTAATGTGTAGATGTAAACGGAATACATGCACATATTTGCCTGCTCACTACCTTATGTTACACGTAATGTGTAGATGTAAACGGAATACATGCACTTATTTGCCTGCTCACTACCTTATGTTACACGTAATGTGTAGATGTAAACGGAATACATGCACTTATTTGCCCGCTCACTACCTTATGTTACACATAATGTGTAGATGTAAACGGAATACATGCACATATTTGCCTGCTCACTACCTTATGTTACACATTATGTGTAGATGTAAACAGACCACATACATGTATACTCATATTCCTGCTCACGGTCTTGTATTTCTGTTTTTCGTCCTCATTTGTGAGAGAGTGTGTTTATTACGGTAAAGGCGCCACCGGCCCATTATACATGAAACTTGACATAATAAGCGCTGACGCGCCATATAATATGATTACAGTCTCTGTTTATACAAATATCAAATGATGGACATCCATATTATGCAAAATATTTACTACATTTCTTTAAAGCTAAAAAGATAAATTTAGCCAAATTATTTATGACCGTGATTTTCCGTGATGTGAATAATAAAATAAGCTTATTGTTAGATGGGAATTTATAATAAAATTCTAGAATAAGACTTTCTTTTAAGTCCTGATAAAATGGACATTCAAGACAAAAATGTAGTTCTGATTCAATATTAGGTATTACACAAAAGGGACAAAGGCGATTCTTACGGTCAAGTTTGAGACGTCGACCGTACTCAATCATTAGGTCGTGGTTGGAACAGCGGAACTTGCATAATGCTATGCAATAAGCTTTTACATTAATTACATTAAAATAATCTTCTTCGCTTAACTGCACCTTAATTTGTCTGTACATTTCAAGTTTAGAATATTTACCAAAGTCTGTTAGCCAATTTTGAACGTCAATGTCAATACATCTTTGTTTAAACTCGACTAGAAATTGTTGGACATTGACAACACGCTGTTCCATCCATACCTGTCAAAAACCATAAGTGAACAATAGATTTTTTACTTTTAGTGCCCAGCAATCTAAATTTTTCTCTGCTTAACTATACTGATATCTATATACATTGTACAATATTATATTTTCCCTTTGCCTTATGCACCTCATCCAATATTTAACTATCTTAATGTGTTTATTGACATTCAAAGAGTACCTGTAAAGCTCACCACGAGCTACAATGTTCGGAGTCGAGACAGAAAGTCTTAGTATTTGTTTACAAAACTTATCCTGAACATGAAGACTATTAGGCGAAGAGTGAAAACCCCAAACTTCGGCTCCATATAACAAAATAGGTACAATTTTTACATAAAAAATATGCAATAAGACGTTAAGTGGTAAACTATAAAAATCCTTAATTGATGATCTAGCAAATGATAACACTTTCCATGCCTGTTCAGCTAATATTTTCTGTGTAATATACCAACTGCCAGAACTAAAAAAAAGAAAGCCCAAGTATTTATACGATTTAACGATTTCTAGGTTTTCTCTACCCAAATTAAATTTCTCATATTTCCTCAATCTCCCAGCTTTTCTAAATACAATAACTTTACTTTTATCTGACAATAGGAATCTTGTTTGTTAATTTTAATTTGCAATCCCAATGGTGTACTGACAAACAAAACCATTGCGTCTGCGAAAAGCAAAAATAAACAACTCAATTAAGTCTAAACTTATACATCTTTGACCGTTTATGGCTAGAAATTCCACCAAATCATTGATAAAAAAAACAAAACAAAAATGGAGATAACTGGCATCCTTGACGTACCCTATATGCACAATCAAAGAATGGAGTGTAACCCTTTTCAAGCGAGACACATGCCTTTACTTTTACATACATATTTCTTAATAAATTATACATTCTGCCTTTAACATTACCGGACCAGAGTTTGAACAAAAGACTTGTCCTGTCTACAGAATCAAAAGCTGCTTTCAGGTCAATGAAGGCACAGTAAAGGCGACCCTTATACAACGAGAGATATTTATTGATAGCTGTGTTTAAAATAAAGATATTATCAGTAGTTTGGATTCCACGTCTAAAACCTGCTTGTTCCGGAGTGAAAAACTGTTCCTGCTCTCCCCATCTATACAACCTATTACTAATAACTTCAGCAAGAATCTTCCCAGAAACTTCCAATAATGTAATAGGACGATAATTAGCTGGTAGACTAGAACTGCCCTTCTTATGCAAGGGTAATATAATACCTAACGTCCAGTCAGACGGATACGTGCCCGAATATAAAATTGCATTAAACAGAAACTGTAGCATATATATACACTGTTCGGCGAC